ATTTTGACGTCACTCGGATTGCAAACAAAAGATCACCTGATTGTAACTGTCAAATTAGTATGTATTTGTTTTGATTTGATTGTTATTGTTTTTATAATAATAAAAACAATAACAACCAAATCAAAACAAATACATATACTAATTTGACAGTTACAATCATGTGATATTTTGTTTGCAATCCGAGTGACGTCAAAATATGTGGGAATAGCACACCTATGTTTTTTCCTTCCACCATGCTTTTTTATGATATTTGCCATGATTTAACAAAATTGCATCAAAATAAAAAATACCCCCGCCACAGCAAACCTGTAGACTGAGCCAATTTCTATTTGCCTGATTTCATTTACACTAAAATGTCTCCTTAAAAATATCAAATTTATTCCCTATTTAAATAGAACTAGCTGCTGGCCCGTCCTACGTACGGGAATCAAGTAGTCGATTAAAACTTAATATAATTCGTCAGAACATCTAGTTTACACGCATTAAGAAAAATTCAGGCAGTTTTTCGAATAGGGAAAATCGTCTTGATTGTAAGTACATCTCTTGTAATTGTTTACAATCTTACTGTGGTTTAACTTTTACTTAAGGTAATCAATTGTGAAATTAAAATAAGATATGTTCCCATGGATGTTTACAACAGAAAAATCATGTTTGTGGCATAACAATTGGCAATTTACATTATGAAGAAATGTATAAAAACCTGACGACCACGTCGCTGATGCGATACCAGTGGGAAAAAAAAAAAAAAAAAAAAAAATAAGCCCCTTGAATCACAAAACAAAAAATATGTTTAAAATGCACCAAATGATGTTTGTGAACATCTAAAATGTTTTGGCAGTTTTAAGTAGTATAAAACAATTTAAAAAGAGTAGAGAACCCTTAAAAAGTCTGATTAAGAACATTGCAATAAGGATTCTTTTGCATTATTGACAGTTTGATAGTCCTAGATGCACACACAAACAGAAATAAATGGGAAATAGAGTATTTGCCTCCCCCACGGAATAAAAAATTAAACCCCCTCTTACATAAACCCCACGAATATTGAAACAGAAACAGTATGAAACATAAACATAAACCAATTACGTCACTGGCCTGAATGTCTATAGGCCCACTAATAGCCGTAGCAACTAAAAACTTTTTACGTTGTTTAAAGGTTAAATTTAAATATCAAAGAAAACATGATTTACTTTCAGGCCAGTAGTTTTGTTTAGGTTTTTGATCCATGTGGTTCCTGTTCTTATATTCGTGATCACCCAAAACTTTTATTGTATTGTAGCCTATATTAAAATTTGAGAATAATATTGGTCAGAACCGTGAGGAGGTGAAAATACTTAAGGTAAATGAGGTAAAACTAAAACTACATTCTAAAACCCCTTGCGAAAAGTCAATCAGAAAATTTCGCACAGCTCCAATTATCGTGGAGAAGTAAACAATGAAAACTTCCCAACATAGAGTAAAAAATACGAATCCTAACCTAAAATGTATAGACAAATTACATCGAGGATGCGGACGATTAATATTATAAAAAATATAATACAAATTGGGCGAAAAAAAATTAGTTTCCCTTCTTTCAAAGCTACAACTGTCGAGAATTATTTCTCAAAATAAATAACACAGCATGGAGTAAAAAATTCAAAACCTAACCTAAAAAGCATAGAGTAACTAACCTGAGGGTGCAGATGCATGGTGATTGGTGATGTGCGAAGATGAGATTGATAACGGATGGGTTTTATACTCGGCGCTGAAGTCCCGCGGAGTTTGACAATGGTTCCGTTACACCTCCTAGGCTAAACATCACGACGATCTATGTTTGTGTTAGTGTTGCTATGTGTTCGTGAGAAGTGCTAGCTCACTTTGGCCCGCTCAAAAACCTTTTCAGTTTAGGCCACTGAAGGTTTAAGTCTGAATTGAGACTTGGTATAAATGTGTGAGCAAGAAAAGTTGAAAAGAACAGTTGGAGGGTTTAAATTGTATAAAGTAAAATCTGATTTATAAAAGTTCTTTATTGCATGGTTATTTACATATGTATGTAAATATATAGCTTTTGTCACAGTTTAGAATAAGAAATGATAAACATTAAAATGCATGTACACTAACACAAACAAACTTAACCTACACTAAAAACATTTATCGAAAATACCTTCAACACAATTGTGTACACATTAAAAACGTACTCTATTACCTGCCAACTTGAGTTTATTGGACACTTAGTTTAGTTTAAAAAGAAATTTTATAGAATGAAATATTTGGGATTCTTTCGGATATCTATTGTAGTTAGAGCGAGAAGAGAACAATGGTTCATAAAAGTTAATACTGTAATCTATTACTTGTTTTAAAAATATCAAGTTTTTGAAACTACTGTATAAATACAGTACAAGGAAAAGTGAGAAATATTTTATAAATTGGAAATTTATTCTTATTCACATTCTGCTACACATACATTATTATTATGTCGCTTTCAAACTTGTATTGGACAAGTTGAATTATACTTGATACTTACTTGATGATACTTACCTACATCTTACCAGCTGTTTACTGTTTACCGGCTGATTCGAATAGACCATAGGAATTGTTTTTGAGACAGTGAATGACAACGATTAGGTGTAGGTATATTATACTTGTCTCTTTTATACATTAAAGCACAGATTTAAGCGATGTTGATGTTATATGAAGCATGAAAACTGCTACACTGTAGAGACGCTCATAGAACGCTGCAGTTTCAGGTTTTTCATAATTTTGTCTTCTTGGAAAATGTTTTAACTTTTTAAGTTTCAAATCACGAATTGCAACAATTATTTCAAGTGAAGATATCGTAATGTAGGAGTAGGCGGCATTTTGGGGTGAAGGTAGATATCCCTACTTGTGGCATCCATGTAATGTCAAGAGATCGATTGATTATGAGGAACATATCAAGTTTTAACCACAAGAATGGAGATTTTCGGACCTGTAACCGCAAATACACGCAAACCGGTCATAGTATGATCTCTGTCGTAAACTAAAAATCGTCGTTGTTTGACAACGAACAACGTATAGTTTCTGAAGCTATCGTGTATGCATTGGGTAATGTTTTGATATTGAATGCAACTTTAATTTAATTTAAAAGTTAAGTCAGCTATGTAAAAACGTAATATTATTTTATCACTAGAGTCTAAAGCGACTCTTTTGGACATGAATTATGTTTTTCGTCGGCACCATTATTTGTGTACATTATAGTTTACCATATGAAATTATGTGTGGGTTTTGTGGTGTTTTTAGATTAGCTCCAAAAATTATGCCTGTCTTGTATTACTATTGTATACAAAACACTGTTACCGTTTATTAGAAACAACACGTATTGCACCACCAACTCAATAATCTTACTAATATTATAAATGTGAAAGTTTGTGTGTTTGTTTGTTTGTTTGAAGTTCAATCACACATTAACAACTGGACGGATTGGGCTGAAATTTGGCATGATGATAGCTCATATTCCCAATTAACATATAGGCATATTCTTATCTCAAAAGTCCTTTCGGGCTCCGCCCAAGTGAATCTGTAGTTTCCCATGTTAACCTTATGACTCATATTTAAAGGGAATTAAAGAATTTAGTCAGCTGTTTCAACTAAAAAAGTTGGTTCTATGATATGCAAAAAGAAGCAAATGTTATCAAACTGTGTCCTCCCCCATTGCAAACGCTATGTTAGAGTATAACTGCAATAAGCATTTTACATTTATATGCCAACCCCGTACGAAGGACGGGTGCTCTGCTAGTACATTCAAATACATCAAAATTAATTCCCTAAATTACAATAATGGGCAAATGTATGTCTTTGTAGTGAAACCCACAATGTTATACGACAATAAATACAAAAAATACCTGTTGATAAATGATAACGATGCGATTATATCAATCGGGACAATAGTAAAATATTCAATGGTAAAATCAGTGGACGGATTTGGAAATAAGTAAAACATGTATAGAACAGAAACGGCATGGACGACAAAATTAAATAAACAAATGATGTCACCGGTTCGAAAGTAAACATGATTTTATCAATATTTAAATGGAATGTGAAAAACGTCCAATCTAGATTTTACGACTATATTTGTGCCAGTGTCGTCATTTTGTTTTTGTTTATATTCATACCGGTCCGTTTCTGTTCTAATATTTGTGCAGTAAAATGAAGGCATACAGCTGACGTCCTCGACTCCAGCTGATTATTTTTCGATCTTTTACACTGCAACGCATTGATTTATTAAACAGCTGTTTGGTTGATCAATTTTAGATTTTTAATTTCAAACATTCAATGAGCGCATAGCTTCACGAATTGGATTTTTATTCTTCGCTTTTTACCCAGACGACTGGATAAAACCATCAAACAAACACAATTAAGATTGCGCGTCATTTTAACCACCCTAGTCAGGCCATGTACTCAATTAATTCGTAAACACTATTGCTGTTGGCATATTAACATATAAATATGTTGGATGTTGGTATATAAAATACCTTTTCAAATGCGATGGGTTTTCAAAATGTTTACAATTTTAATTTACTTTTTCAATATGATTTTTGTTTGAAAATTACAATAGGCTACTAAAAGTTAACATTTTATATGGTAAATAATTCACTTAATTCGATTACATGTGTTTTTGATTGTTCGATTCTAGCTGTTAACTGCTGTAGGTCAAGGACAAGGATAGGGCCTGAACCAAGTATCGATTTGTTGGTTGCCATGGCAACGGTAAGGCAGAGCAGACGACAGACGACATGGACAAAATAACCACTCGCAAGGTAACATTATGTTTAATTACTTATTGATCAGCTGTAGCTTTAGTACGACATGTTTGTTTATACAGTGTTTAATATGTTACTTTATTAACTAGTACCTATTTGTAGTGGGGAGGGAAAGAAATAGGTTAATTATAATGAATGGTAAGGTATTTCGTGTTTTTAATTATTTTTGTTCTGATGTTGGTTTTTGAAAGAATGATAGACAGGTTATATTTTATAAAAGTTGAAATTGAATTTATTTTAAACATAAATCGAATATAGTATATAATAAATGGAAACTTTTATGTGTTGACTATGGATAACACATAAAACACAACCTCCCACATTATTGGGGTAAGGGTTTCTCTTATCTAATACTTGTACCAATTAATTGTTACTTACTCAGCTCTTACCATTTTAACTATAAGTATTGTTTTTTTGCAATTTTATTTTGTTTATGTGGATAATATTTTACAATTTTAGATTTATTTTACATGGATAATTTTTACAAATTTAGATTTTTAACAAGTGAATTATTTATTTTATCAAGTGATTTTTTTACACTGAATAATTATGATACAGTATTAACCTCAATTTTTGCCCATGAATAGAACATAGGCATCCCATTCAGATGTTTTACTTGTAGAACAAGAATAAAAATTAATATAATTGAATTGAGCCTTTCACAAATTGTGATGCTGCAAGTAACTGGTATCTGTTTATTTCTAATATCTAATTCTAATATTAAAGAGTGACTATGGTAAGGTTGTTAATGTTATTTATTTTCACTCTTCCCACAGCGATTCCTTGATCTATTTATTTTCATTGGCATTGTAACAATGCAATTTTGTTGACTATGAAACTTTGTTCTGAATTCAATCTCAATGATCATTCACATTTTCAGTAATGTACTAGCAAAACAAATCCTGCTATACCACCTTTGGCCTACACAGTTGATCAAGGTTAAAAACCTGTGTAATTATATACCTGCATGCACATCAGTGAATGCCATAGTTGCATCAGTCTTCTGGTAGGGTATAGACTGGATTCAAATGTGTAACTATACTCATTTCATGAAGTAAACCATATGCATGTAGAATACTTTCTACAGACCTCTGAAATTAAAGGCAGAAAACCTTAGTTGCACATTTAGAGAGATTACTTTTATTTTTCGGCAAATGTCCCTTGGCAAATTTTTCACCAATTATAATTTTTAAACTTCCAAGCTTATTATCTGCCAATATTATCTATGTAGCCTATTGTATGAAATTAGATACATTTTACATGGGAAATGCATATAGACAATGTTTGAGAAAACACTTCAAACAAGAGCCCTCTTTTGCAAAAAAGACCTAAATTATTTTATTTTCTTCAACCCTGTAAATTTTCCTCAGAACCGTCAAGTACATCCACAGCAATGGTCGTCTGCTGAAGAAGATTCTGGGGAATCCTCCACACCTCAGCAAAACCACGTCAGCTGTTTTACAATTCAAGACAGCAACAATATGACTCAACAATGTGAGTAGATTATAAATCTATATAGGTTTGTCAAGAGTGTAGTTTACCAGTAATACTCTGATATGAGTATTGACATAAAATAGTACAAGTAGACTTCTTAAATCCCATTATAAAATGTAAACTCTGTTTCGCATTTCCATTGCAGTTATGCTTTAGTTAATGCACTAATACTGAATAAATGCTTTTCTCTTATTTAAAGAGACATTTCACAGTTTGCATTTAACTCTATAAGTTAAAACACCAGAAGAACAAGCAATAGGTTACAAATTAATGGTTTTTGTCGGGTCAAAATAATTTTAAATTTTTTTTTTTAAACCAAAAAAATTCTTTTCAAATATGTTTTTGCAAATTTCCTTATTTTTTCATCGATATGTTTCACCGTAGAGTGTGGCATGTTCTTCTATTTACACAACATTGTTTACATTGCAGTATCATATACTAAAAACCTTTTGCAAAACTTACAACAGCTAGCCTGGCCATACTACTGGACCGATATACACGCGGATTGTACCAAAAGAAAGGTTATCGGTCCTATACGTGCAGATTTATATGTATTTTGAAAATATTTATGTTAATTGGGTAAAAAATAGAAATTAAACTTCTCTTATGGAGATTTAACATAGGGCCAAATTTTAAGCTTACGAGAGCCACCCTGACCATACTACTGGACCGATTTACAAGCGGGTTGTACCAAATAATGGTGATCTTACTAATATTATAAATGTGAAAGTTTGTGTGTTTGTTTGAAGTTCAATCACGCATAAACCACTGGACGGATTGGGCTGACATTTGGTATGATGACTGCTCACATTCCCGATTAACAGGCATATTCTTATCTCAAAAATCCTTTCGGGCTCCGCCCCAGTGGCTCTGTAGTTCCTCATGTTAACCTTATGAGTATTCATATTGAAAAGGAAATTGAAGAATTTAGTCAGCTGTTTCAACTAAGGAAGTTGGTTCTATGATATACAAAAGCATTAAAAAGTTATAAGATTTACCAACAGGGTGCAGCACTATAATTTTTTTTTGCATTTATTCAAACAGCTAATTTGAATTTAGCAGCAAAGTAGGATTCTTTACATACTTTTAGAAAGATATTTGCCTATAGATGTGCAGAATCCCTTTATAAATTAAAATAGGTTAAGAAATAAACACAAAAACTAATTTTAAATTAAAAAAAAAGTTAACATGCCTTATGGGTTGCTATGTTGGTGACAAAATAACAACAAATTATAAACAGAAAATCCAAACAAATTTAAGAAATTCCAATAACATGTTTTATTTACAGGGTGGGGTGAAAATAGAGCAGTTTGCACAATATACATACTTTTGGTTGAGTTTTCGACCACAGGCCAGCTCTAGTTACACACTAATTTATTCTTTCTTTGAAAAGAAAATGGCTCAGCAATACATCTAATGGTTTTTTCTTTTCTCTTCTGCCCTTCCCATAGAAAGCCATTGGTGGGAGACACATTGCTTTGCTATTAGTAGTATGGATATAAACACTGTATCATAGACTTTATATATGTAATTGAAAACCAGGGATGATTTTTAGATGACAATTTGTTAATGTTTTACACTTGGCAGGTGAGGATGTAAAAAGTGTGAGTGTCCGAAGTGACATAATACAATCCGACCCATCCAACACCCCAGACCAAGCCACTTGTCATAGTAGTAGCGGCGACGACCATGCCTACAGGTACAGAAACAGAATACCTACTCATGTAATAACAAGATTTATAAGTCTACGCTCCGAGCCAGCATTTAGGCTGGTAAAATTGATGACATATACAAGGCGTGTGCAATAAAGAATGACCGGTACTCTTTCAATACCTTTAACATACAAGTTTAGACTTTAACACTTGTATCTCCTTCAAGTGGTCGCCATTCAAAGCCACATACTTGTTCCAGCGCCTTTGCCACTCCTTGAAGACATGTTCCAAGCCCTCCTTAGACAGTACCTTCAAAATCGCCTCTAAAGTATTCACAGCCGCAGTAGCGGTTAGAAAAAGTTGGCCTTTGAGCTCCTTTTTGGCTTGAGGGTACAGACAAAAGTCATTTGGAGCCAGATCAGGTCTGTAGGGTGGTGTAGCCCAGTTTCAAGTCTTTTTTGGCAAGAAACTGAAGCACAGTATTGGCAACATGGGGGCGAGCATTGTCATGATGCAGTTTCTAGCGTCTGACGAGGTCTGGTCACTTTTTTGGGATGTGGTCTTAGATCATTTTTTTCAGTAGCCTACTAAAATGTAGTACTTCCCGTCAATTTTCTGACTCTGTGGTACAGTATGGGTATACACCATACCACGATAATCAAAGAACATAATCATCATTGCTTTTTGCCGTTGCTCCACCTTCCAACTCACATGATTCCCATCCGTTTTTAAAGTCTTTATGCCGTTTGAAATATGTTCTTTCTCTCATTTTATCACCACCAAATGCTTTTTTTAAAGTAGCTGTAAGTATCCATAGCACTTATCCTCAGTTTTACACAAAACTTTATTCCATATGTTTGCTCGTGAAAATCAGCCATAATAAACTTTAGAGGCAAAATTTTGCAACTGTTTATTAATTGGTTGCTATGACAAAAATAAGTATGCTTTAATGTTAACAGCTGATTTTGTTGTTGCTAACACTTCAATGTTTCATACAAACTTGAAAAAAAACTAATTATATTGTATTTGGTTTGTTTGCATGTTCACTAATGTAAGTCTTTATTGAACACCCCGTATTTATAATAATTGAGTTATCTATATATTTAATACGCTAGGCATATTTTTGTCATAATTGTTTTGGAGTGGTGGTGCTGTGAATGTCCTACAGTGTGTCAACCATAGTTTAACTGGGGCTGAGTTATAATAACACTATAAATTATGTTAAAATATATACATATACAAGGTATCTTACTTCATTCTACACTCATCCATCATTCATTTTTCATATTAGGGATACATAGATACATAGTACTCCCAATTTGGGTCCCCATATTAACTGCAAATAAAAAATTAAATAATGTTTATATACACCTCTTGTTCATTTATTCTCCTGTAGACAGTTTTATTTATTTTAACTAAAGGTTAGACTCGGAACAAAGTCAACAGCTGATCAGGCAGCGGCTTCAAGACCTCGTGAGAAGGTTTTCCGAGAGAGCTTTACGAGTAAGAAGACGTTTTGACTTTCCGCCAACTCCCTCTACCATTAGCAGCTGTGAACATGGTAATGTTGTTGATGGTATTTGACAATAAATATTGTTCAGAAAAACATAAATGAAAAGTAAGTTTAAGGATATAATAATTATATCCTTAAACTTACTTTTCATTTTTAAAAATAAAAAGTAAAGTAAGTTTTTTAAAATAAAAAGTACAAAAAGCATAATTATTATGCTTTTTGTACTTTTTATTTTTCAGTTAAAACTTATATGCTTCTATCTTTGACTAGATATCTAAATGGTTGTATTGCTTGCCTTTGAATCAGAAGGTTCTTACGGTTTGATCTTGAAAAAAGTCTATAACTTTTGGATTGTTTATAATATTGTAGCCAGTTGTCATTGATCATTGGGTTTTAAATAAATGGTTCTGGTCAAATAAAAAGCTGATATTTTCCAATAATAAAGTCACACAAATAATCTCACTGCCTTCTAAATTAACTTTTCTTGGTTTAAATCCAGCTTCAAAATATTTACACTAAATTACATAACTTTGCCCAATTGACCTGCAGACAGAGCATGACAATTATTGAAAATACTGTTTCATTACCTTCTTGATTCTTGATACTTTGCCATGCACATGAATAATATTTCTAAATGTATTTTAAAAGGAATAACTAACAAAATCTATTGTATACAAATAACTATTCAAAAACTGTTAACATGATGATTTGTTCCAGAAGAAAGCAACAGTGTACTCAAGTCGCCCCTGAAGAGGATTAGATTTGTCTCGCAAGAGTGGGGTTCAAAGTTTTCCATGTGTGAATCAATCAGGCACAAAGTAAAGAACTTCTCCTTCGTCTTTGAACCACAAAGTAAGATTTCTGTTTGATTTTTACTTTATTTGAGTGATTAGTAGTAGTAGAGGAGCAAGGGATGAATATAACTTCACAATCAGTAACAAAAAGGACTCAATGTGGAAAAAGATCATTGATAAAAGAAGAATATCATGAATATTCTTGAAATGTTTCTAAATTCACAAGAATTTGCTCTAAATCAAGAGCTTGAGAAGCGATAATGGTGTGGTACCGTAGTTATATGGTTATAATTATAGTTGTATGGTCGCCATTTAATAAGAAAGTATTAAAGTATAGCTGCTTACTTTCTCATATTTTTGAAATCTACAATTTTATCCGTACAAAATACTATTTACCAGCCCTTATTTCCGACAGGCTACTTCTACGTTTCGTGGCTGTGTATTATAATGGCAAGCTACTTGTATAACTGCTGGGTCATACCACTACTGACATTCTTTCCCTACCGAACCCCAACCAATGAAATGGTCTGGTTCTACATTGATTGTGTCGTCGACTTCTTCTACCTGTTGGATTTTGTTCTGATCAAACCGAGGGTGATGTATCTAGAGGATGGATTCTGGGTGCGAAATACTAAATCTCTGAGAGATAAATACACAAGATCACTCACATTTAAGGTAATTTTGTATAGAAATCTCTTGATTATTTGCAATATTTAACTTTCCTCTTTTATAGCATACATACTGATTTAGACTTAAATAATAGTAAGTTTTTGTTTTAACAAAGAAGTATGGATGGAAATCATTAAGTTATGGCCTTTCAATTTAATCAATAATATAATTGATTAAATTTATTCAATGGTAATTAACTAAAATAACTAACAAGTCTCTATTCTGCTGAAAATAAAGAATAATGTACTGTAACTGTATAAATGATTTTCTAATAATTTTTTTGACTTTATGTATTGAATTAGTTTCAAGTTTTTTTATAGTAGGCTACAAATCAAACTCTGCTGGCTTGAGATGATTAACAGAAATAAACAATTGACTATCAACAACTATATAGTTTTTTCTGTGGTTGGTAATTGATAACAAAATGTTCCAGATTGATGCTCTATCCTTGCTCCCGGCAGATCTGATATGTTACTATTTTGGAATTGTTCATCCTATTCTGAGACTTCCTCGTCTGTTAAAGGTTTGTCCCTCTTTTTTGTTATGTTCAAGTATTATTTATACGAAGATAAACACTTTTAAGAGGGAGTCAGAAGTTTAGGTCAGCACACTTGTTGGCTCAACTTACCTAAACATAGAAATACAATGCCTAGGTCCATCCATAGAGAAAAATATAATTCAAAGAAGATGTTGGGAAAGTATTATTTTCTTTACACTGCTACATCTTGAGATTTCTACAAATAATCCAATCCTTGCTTATCCTTTTAGATTGATTAATTAACTGTAACTCTTTACCACTTACAATCAATCACAGTTATTATTTTGTTCAATAGAGATTTTAGAGATTGACATCGATCAAAGTTAAAGTTTATTAGAAGAACAAGAACCCCCAATTTAAAAAATGCCACAATCTGTATTTAATGATAGCATACAGCCAGTTAAAGAAAAACGTTAATATGCATTAATTTTTTGCAGATTCAGTCGTTTTGGGAGTTTTTTGACTACTTTGACCACGCCTTGGCTAACCCCTATGCTGTGAGAGTCACTCGTTCCCTCACTTATATGATATTCCTGGTACATCTCAATGCGTGTGCGTACTACTTCGTCTCCGTCACGGAGGGAATTGGTTCTAACCGTTGGGTCTTCAATGGAGAGGGAAATGCGTAAGTTAGTGTCAAGCGCTGCTTAATGTAGGGGTGATTTTCTATAAAATAATACAAAGTTTAGTTAATGATGGTGGAACACTATAGAATCAATCACAATAGTTCTTGGTGTGTTTAATGTCTGTATTTATCTGGATTGGGGATTAACATGTAGCTAATTTTAGTGATCGGAAAAGACAACAAGAGAATATGTTATTTTAAATTAAAACAGCAAATTTCCAGTCACATTTTAGTACAGAAAGTCATGTTAAAACAGCAAGTTTCCAGTCACATTTTAGTACAGAAAGTCATGTTCCTGCATAGTATGACGGAAATACTTAAACTATTTTGGGATAACTATGCTTTTAAAAGTTTACTTAATTGTTTGTTACCAATTACTATCTTCTTTTTTAGGTACATTAGGTGTTTTTATTTTGCTACAAAAACTGCCACTTCCATCGGCAAAAATCCAAGACCGGAAAATGAAATGGAATATGTCTTCATGACTGCTTGTTGGCTGATGGGTGTTTTTGTTTTTGCACTTCTAATTGGTCAGGTAATAGTTTCTGTTCTTTCCTACAGGTTAGGTATAATATATTTAATAAACTAATTATACAAGTCCTTCCCTCTTCAAATTGTATTGTTCTTTTAAAATTTGGAGTAACTGATTTGATCACAATCTGGTTGGTTTCTGGACCCAAATAAATGATCGACATGCTATCTAACAAAAGTTCAAGGAAGAAAATTCCAAAGTTTGATAATAATGTATTTTAATTAATTATTGTATTTGCAGATAAGGGACATTATTGCCACAGCCACCAAGTCTCAGACTGAATACCGGAAGTATTTGGATGAAGCTATGGAGCATCTCCGTCTTTTGAACATCTCCAAGGAGTTGATGGAAAGAGTCAAAATGTGGTTCACGTATACATGGGAGCAACAGCACACTTTGAGTAGGTTCTTAATTAGATAAACATTTGTTTGAGAAAATTTGTTAGACACTTTTTAGCACCTAAGATGTATGATTATTGAGCGGAGTGAAGCGAAGCTCTTTGGGATCAACTTCAATGCAATCTTTATAACACTACTTAATCTCGATAACGGCTGAACATATTTTAGCCAAACTTGCTAAAAAGCTAAAAAAAGGTTGTTTTGTCAAATGTTTGTGCAATTGTCCAAGTGTTTGGGGCAATTAGACGTAACCAATTTCAATTTTTATGATGCCTAAATAATTTTTAAGTAAATCAAAGTTTTTAAATTTTAACATAGGCCTTAATGGTTGCTATGATGGTTACAAAATAATGACGTAAATGTAAACAAAACAATGAATCATAGCATATGATAAAATAAAGCCACAACCTAAACATAGTACAAAGGGAAAAAATTTGGCAACTAATCAAATAATACAGAGAAAGTCTTAGGTCTTAGGTTTACATTTAAATAGCAATTTGGAAACGACAACTGATCAAAAAGATACAGTCATAGATAAAACATACTTTCTTAGGTACAGTATTTAACAGATTTTATTTACATAGCTAAAAAAGGTTAAATAACATTTTATCTTAAACAATTCATCAGTGAATCACATTCATAGATCCATCTCACAAATGGCAAACTAAAAAAGTTCCACGACGTAGGAAGTGATGAAGGAAGTAGTAAAGGGGAGAAGTGCGGAGTGTAGGAACCGTTTGTGGCAGTTACATTAATGTATCCACAATACGAAAATGCTATGGGAAGGTAGGGAAACAGGTCCACGACGTAGGAAGTGGGAAGTGTTGGAAATAATTAAAACAAAAAAATAACAGAACACACTCCTACTCCCCAGATTCCGAGGAATTCTCAACAAGTTGGCAACCCTGGCTACTACTATCAACTTGTTATGGCAACGCTCGTTAACCCTTGACACTGCAGTGGTGTGCGCTGAAACTACTCGGCACTCCTAGCAGTGGATGCCAGAATATATGCTAATAACTGCAGCACTGCTGTCGATCTATATTTAATTCTTTTTTTATGATGATACCATTGAATGTACTCTATTTCAGATGAGCTGACAATTTTGGACAATCTCCCGTACAAGATGAAGACCGATGTTGCCATCAATGTACACATCAACACTCTCAATAAGGTTCAACTGTTCAAGCATTGTGACGATGCTCTCTTGCGAGACTTAGTGCTCAAGCTGAGGCCTGTGGTGTACCTACCAGGGGACTACATCTGCCGGAAGGTCAATAATTTGTCTTTATATCCTTATAAATATTTACTTAACATTTTAATTTAACTAAGCCTAATAAAGTCTATTTGAGTGCTATAGTGCTCACAATTTAATAAGAAGGTAAGTGAGAAAAATCATTAGTTTTCGATGGCTCCCATGTTGAGTCATACGAACACAGATAAATTAGTTGTAAGTGCTAATATATTGGACTTTGGATCTCAAAGCGTCAACAATACTATGTTGTATATAAAAATATGCATTGGTATCACTATCATTATTAAATTTAAAACTGTTGTAATTAGGTTCTTACTTGCAAATGCATTCTATTCAATTGATGAATATTTGACAAAAAAATTGACTTGCAATGATTTTGTGTAAGATGGGTGAGCCCTTTGTTCAATTCATTATTGTATAGATTATATATTGTAACCTGACATATCCAATGTATTCAAAAGAATATCTAATGGAAATAAAGATCTTATCTTATCTTAACATACCATTTGTGCATTGTTACAATAAAAAGTACAAGTTTTTTTTTATAATGTTCCTGCTTTCAGGTTTGTTGCAATTCATCTATAGCTTCCTGAGACTTTTAAAACATCAAAATTTACTCCAATATTTCAGTAAAAGTGCAAAATGTTGATACACGTGTGTTTCTAGGGGGAAGTTGGCAAAGAGATGTACATTGTGAAGAACGGCCAGGTGCAGGTAGTGGCGGGGCCAAAGGGTGAGGAGGTGTTGGCGACACTGACAGAGGGAACTGTCTTTGGAGAGATCAGTCTGTTGTCTCTGGACGGAGGCAATCGTAGAACAGCTGACGTCAGGTGAGCTTGGCGGGGAAAGTAAAACTAATTCTGTGTAAAAGAAGCATCCACACCAACAGTTTTGGAACCATGGATCACAATCTACAACTGGATCATGGAAACATTTTTATGGTAACACTAAAGCCTCCAAAGGTTTTGCTCCCTAGATTGACATGGAATGATCCTTCCTTGCATTTATATTAATATTTTTTATGAAGGAAATGCATAATGCACAATGTGGGGCTCCTACCCTCTAAAACCTCTTCAAAACTATGAAACTGCAGCCATTAATGGTACCAACTGAAAACTTTCTTTGGGAAACCTCTATTGATCATTCAGGCATCTTTTATCTTGCTATGAACAAAGGACTAGATGATCATGGTAGGCACATGCATTACACTCATTTTCACACTGATGAAGACCTTTCCCGTACAAAAACATAAAATATGCCAATGACATTGAAACACACAAAATAAAAATAGAAAGTAAGAATCTCAGTAGCTCGTTTTATTGAAGAAGCGAGCATCTCTTCAACAAAATTTCCACACTTAAATCAAATGTGTGATGAACAACATCATTCTCTTTTGGGCTAAAAGCTGAATACCTCAAAGAATTTCCAAAGAGTTATTTGTCAATGTTATAACAAAAATGTTACTGGTTTCAGATCAAACGGATTCTCCAACCTCTTTGTTCTCAGTAAGGACGATCTCAATGAAGCACTACAGTTTTACCCAAACGCCCAAGAGATTTTAAAAAATAAAGCAAAGTAAGTACAGTTGTTTACCAAAAATGTAATTTAGATATAAAAAAAAACTATTACCAACCAGAGACCTATCTCCCACACAATGGATGTCATTAATATATCACCTGACATACAGGGTGGGGCAATGAGAACACCACAATTTGTTTTAGCTGTCACATGTTAATTGTTGCAACAACGAATGATCAGCTGTGCTTAAAACATCAATTAAACTATGCCATTTTAGTAAATATTATGCCCGAGGCTATTTAACACTGAGATTTTGATGTGCAAACCTATTTTTAAAATAGTGGTTCTTGTGCAAAAACCCAGAGATTGTTTGGACCACATTCCATCCTTGGTCAACATGGCGCTGTTCCAGATTGGAAAGCAATGGTGAACTGGGTAAAATTATTTAGGATAAACGCTTAAATCTTAAAAATAATCGGTGGGTGCCGCAAAACTCTTTGTACACCAGCAAATGTTGAAAGAGTGCGAGTCGCAGTAACTCAAAGTCCAAAGAGATTTGCCAGGAAGCTGTTGTTGTTGAAAGCTTTACGTTGGCTCCTTTTTTTGGAAGGGGGGGGGGTTTCTAATAAGCTACTTGAAGTTCGAGGTTTTTCAAAGTCACCCCACAGATTTGCTTGAACCGAAGCTAAGAATTGTCCAAAAACTAAAGTGATTCCTGAAGAAATGCTGGAGGAGTATTTGATGGAGTTTTCAAGTGCCTAATGTCAAGTAGGACAAGGAATTCATTTGCAGGATTTTGTTCTCAAGAAATGGAAAAATGACTTTGTTAAGTTAAAATGGCAAAAGATAAGCTGTGTTTTGATGTGCTATTTATATCCATAGGGTGAATATTATTGAGTTTGTACTGCTTATAAATTAGGGCGCTTTCATTGCCCCACTCTGTATATATACAGTATATTTATTTTAGCATGCTTATTGAAATAAATATTCTATGTTTATTTTTCTGCTCATATTTGGTGATGGTGAATTGCATATAAGCCAAGTGGGATTATAGATAAATATATGCCGATGCTTGATAGCAAATCTGTGCGTGCATACCTTCAATTCGAAACCAAAAATCGGTCCGGTAGCAGAGCCAAACAAACTCGGAAAAGAAAAACCAAATCTGTTCATATATAAGATTACACTTAAGTATCTGGGGGGATAACAAAACAAGTTTAAGTTCTAATTTTTTGGGACAGTTAGACTAGTTTTCTCAAATTTTAAACTATTTGTATTTGTTATTATTTGTTTCTTCCAGACAGCTGATGCGTCAGAATGCCGCCAGAGAACGCAAGAATAAGAGGAACGAGATGAACAATGTTGAACCTGCAAACAAAATGCCGAAAATGATACCAGACACAGCTCGGGTTGGTATTTTTAAATATTATCTAGATCCCTGACTACCAAAAAATTAGCGTCCCAACAATAATAACTACCAAATACTAATAAATACCAAATATAAAGGTGCATCGCCATCTTATTTCAGGACATAGTCATAAGGACCAACTAAAATGATTAAATCTTTTCAGATTTTGAGTAAATACTCAAAATGCAGATACCCAAGAAATCAGAACCCCTCGAGACCTCGAGTGAGGACGTCAGTTTACTGCACTAAACCATTTTCACAAGAAGTTGAGGACCAGGTTAGTGTACTCATTGTTTTATATTGATTTAAGTTATTATAATAGTACATCGTTTATTGAGAAGAGTGGTTGTTTGTACAAATTATGGTGTATGTTTTTTTTTATTTTTGTATTACTAGACTGTTTACCCTTCCAAAGGAAAATAATATACAATTGTAATTAAGTCCAACATGGAATATTTACCTGAAAGCAACACACTGAATTTTAGATGTAAAAATCTCAATTGCCTACACGTTAGACCTGCTGGTTAGTGTGCACTGAAGTACCATTACCGTATAAGTCTCGTGGTTGGTTGGTGACAGTGATAAAATAGGACAGGCTGTAGGTCTCTAACCCGCAACTTGAGGCTTATCAGCCCAAAAAACTATTAAGCATCCAGTACACTTTAAAATTTCATCTTTCCATTTTTCCCTGTCTCTTTGTTAAAATAAAAATAAAAAATTCTAGCGGCTGTTGGCAAGAAGCTTCTCCGTGGAGCTAGGAGATCTGCAGGTGTACCAGTCGTGTTTGGACGCGTCCGAACCTGACATGACTGGTGATGTGCCTTGTCAAGTCACGGTACACAGGAACAATGAGTGAGTCCATTCCAGTCCAGATGCCGAGTGGAATGAGATCGTCTGTAGTTTCTGTTGAATCATGATACCACAGAATCAAGTTGGATTCTTAGTTGATTGGGTAAAGATTTCGCAAAGCTGCTGAGAATATTACTGATATTTGGGTTGTTACATCTGCGATTAATATGTGTCAGCCTTAGTCCTAGGAATTCTTCAGCTAAAATTGTGACAAAAGTTTGCTACCTCTATTCTTTTTTATTGCAAACATTGATTTGAATGTTTTCAATAAAAAAGGATAGAGGTAGCAATCTCAATAGCAATGTTCAATTAATTACTGGACTTAGTTGTTAACTTACGTTTTTGATTCATAGAACCATTTCCTGGAGTCTTGCACTTTACTTAAAGAACCGCTCCCTGAGTAAATTCCTAGTTATTCTTTGTTGTTTTTTATTTTTATTTTTTACCATACTTTATTTGATTCCTTTCTTTGGATCAGCTGATAACTTCCAAGAATTTACTAGTCTAATTGTTGTGATAACCAACAGAGTGATATTGTTCATAGTAGCCAAATGTTGATGATAATATAAACTTCACCATGATATTTATTTTTGTAAAGTTATATACAGTAATATATATGTTATGTATTATTATAAAGATAAAGAATTTTAAAATGTATCAGTAAATATGACTGCTAATGTTAACAAGATAATTCCAAAACAAAGCTGTATTCAATTTGTATAAATAAAACATATACAGGTGGTTACAATTTTTTTATTAAATCCTGAAGCATCGCAACTATGTTTCTGCAGTTCCAAATTATTGATCTGGTGTTACATATAAGTTTCGGCTTACATACGATTATGTAACAACCTTTCTTTTGATGACACAGATGAACTTGATACACACAAGAAAGTTTGATCATGCCGAAACATATTATGTAACATCAAATCAACAATAATTTTGGAATCACAGATAATGAAACAACTAAGGTATTTATTATATTTCCATTGAATTTATATCTTTACAATAATTACTATTCTGATAAAATATTATTTGTTTACTGAAAATATGATTTTTATAGTGAAGATGAGAATTCCTCTTTATCCAATTTGACGAAATTACTGTGCCATCCTATATATTAATAGGCAAGCATGTTTCTTGAAAACCTTTTTACTCAGCTTGAGTGCATTGCAGGGAAAATCCACGCATACTGTTGGAAAGATATATTTTCCTGTAGATGTGCAGAATCCCTTTACAAATTAAAATTATCTCAAAAATAAGAAAAAAAAATGAATTTAACACTTTCAAAAAATTAACATGGGCCTTATGGATTACCATGCTGGTTACAAAATATAAACAGAATACAGTATCGAAACAAATGGAAGAAATTCCAATCACATGTTTTATTTACAGCGTGGGGTGAAAGTAGAGAACCACATATAATACATTTTTTACACATTATAATATTACATATTTTTGGTCAAGTTTTTGACCACTGGACTGGACCCCTAGTACCCATAAATACACTGTTTCATTGGACTTTTAAATAATGGTGTTGACTAAAAGTCTTATAGGTATCTAACCCTGTTTAATGTTTATCTTTCACTCATTTTCAGGATACAAATCCCATTTCTGTAAAAATTACGGTTCAAAAGTTATGGTAAATTATGTTATTTTCCCATAAAAACCCCATAAAATAACGAAAAATAGGGCTTTAGACAAAGATCCGGTTTTGATTTAACATACAGTTGAACCTCGTTTGTACGAACCTCGATAAAACGAATTCCTCGATAAGACGAATTTTTTTTAATCCCCTTGAAACTTTCATATAGGTCAATGCTAAAAACACCTCTATACAACGTAGTAATTAAGTTAAAAACCTCCATAAAACGAATTTATTTGTGATATGGGCTAGGACTGATTAACCTCTATACAACGAATATTCTTGGTACAAAACCTCTACAAGACGAACGTGGCCTCTATAAGACGAATTTCTCATAATCTTAACCTCCATAGTACGTAGTTTTCAAAACAAACAGAAACTTGTCTCAACATGAAACCCCCAACCATCCCTCCTCCTTCCTCAGTCATTGTTTGGAGAAACCTTGGAGCGAGGATAAACCTCTATAAGAAGAATAACAGCAGCATTAAACCTCGATAAAACGAACCTCTTTATTAAGAATACCTCTATAGTAAGAATTATCCCCGTACCCCTTGAAATTCGTCTTATAGAGGTTCAACTGTAGTATGTTATGGTCCTTACAATTTTGATAGTTTTTTTCACTTTTTAGAAATTTTTATTTTTAATGGGGATTTTCCAATAAAACCCCATAAAATAACGGAAAAATAGGATTTTCTCAAAAATGGCCTGAACGATTTTTATAAAAATTTAGTATGTTATAGTCCTTTATATTCTGAACAAAATGGTACAAATCCCATTTCTGTAAAAATTATGATTCAAAAGTTATTGTAAATTATGTTATTTTCCCATAAAAACCCTTTAAAATAACGGAAAATCAGATTTCCCCAAAATTGGCCCAAACGATTTTGATAACAATTTAGTATGTTATAGTCCTTTAAATTCTGAAGAAAATTGTACAAATCCCATTTCCGTATATTTACTCTCACCGCTTACACATGATAAAGGTTGTTGACAAACTTATGGGAGAAAGTATGTGTCAGAATGCTGATACCGTTTATTTAATTAATGACAGTCTGAAATTAAGTAAACACAGGTAAGCTTTTTTTAACTTTTGATATTTATTTTTTTACAAACAACTACAAAATTACAAACTTTATTTACAAAACTCTGAGGGACCTGACTTCAAAGTGGCAACTGGTTCAGTTGCCACACCTGTCAGGCTATTTCTTGCTGCATCACTGCTGCGGTAAGAAGCTTTGCTGCAGCTGCTGTTGCTGCGATTGCCGCGGTCGGCTAGAAATGTCTGCGGCAGTGATGGTGTATTGTAGATTAGCTCCTCCCACGTTGGACTTAATCTCGGCTTGTCCGTTAGGATCTTCCTGTGGTCCGTCGCCAATCGGCTCTACGTCTTCCCTGAAAGATTGGATAAAATAAAATCCTACTCATTTGTGCTCTTCAATTTGTTTGATAGAAAATGAAATATCTCAAAATATATTGAGTAGGTATAGCAAACCACACCAGGAAAATGTCCTGCATGCTCCCAAGGAATATGCTTATTTATTGAGATTGAGTTGGACTTAAAGCTTTACTTGTAATTGTATCCTTGCTAGTCTCCCTTTAAGAAATACAATATTCTTACATTCCCTACCAAATACATATCAAGTTTTTGGTCGTTTTACAATATAAATTGTAACTTTTTTTGAACCGCATAACGCAATACTCTTGATCCTTTAGTTTAAGATATGTAGTAAATCATATTCTTTTCACAAACGATAGAACTGCCACTTTTTGTACAATTTTGAACTACGGACCCTACTTACTTGACAACTCGGTATCCATTCTCATCGGCTTCGTAGTGTACAGTCCGCTTGAAGTATCCGTCGCTGTAGGAGTACACTCCCCTCAGTGCCAGACCGTCACGTACCTCCTCTCGCACATGTTGGGTGTCGGAGAGTGTGTCAGTCACGGACGATTGGAAGGAATACTTTGCGTTTTGTGCTTGTTGCTGAGCAATCTATGACAAAATGTTGGGTTAGAACTTTTATCAACTTCACTATTAAGTTACTCCAGTTTTGTAAATGCCATTCCTTCTAAAGAAGCCCTTAAATAGGTTAGTTTATAAAATTAATTGTGTAGAGATAGTTTTTGGTGCCAACTACCTGAAACCTTTTCTCCCAGGAAATTAATTGTATCCATTCCTTCTTCCTTAATGTTTTTTTCCTTCATGGTAGATTTTAACTTTGAAAATTCATAATACTGTTATGAAAAGAAATGTTTAGAAACCAAATTTATATGGTTTTATTCAACTTAATAGTCAGCTACATTTTACATGAGAGAATTGCACAAAACTGTAAACATTACATACATAAACAAAACAGTCTTAAATAAAACAGCTGAATAAATATTTGACAGTACAAAAGGAATCATATTACATAACATTCACCCCATCTTTTTTTTTTTAAATGTAATCCCTTAGATAGGTGGGAGGTCTTCGGACTCTAGTGGAACGACGCAGGTTTGTTTCTTCGTTATCCCTCACAGAAGTAGGGGTCACGGTCTCATGCAGAGGGGATGTTTTGATTTCAGATTGAATAGAGTTCCCAATTTCAGGTTGAAGCAGATTTGATTCACGTCTCAGGTCTTGAAGAGCAGGATCTAGTTCTTGACTGGGATTTTCCGAAGTCACTGGCTCATCCTCTTGTTGGATAGCTTCAGGAGGAACAGCGAGATGTCGCACCGATACCAGAGCCTCTCTACCATCTCTATACTTGATGCGAGCATAGTCTGGATTAGCCTCTATCAGCTGAGCTTGTTCCACTAAAGGTTCATATTTGTTATTTCTTACATGCCTTCTCACTAATACTGGTCCTGGATTCATGAGCCATTGAGGTTGAGAGGTGCCATAAAATGATCGTCTCTGGTGTTTGAAAAGTCGTTCATGTGGGGTCTCATTCGTAGCTGTACATAGTAACGAGCGCATATAATTGCAAAGCTTCTGGCAAAACATACTCCCACTGTTCTGTCTTCAGTCCCTTGTTTCTCAGAACAAGAGATACAGTCTTCCAAATCGTTCCATTATATCGCTCAGCTTGAGAATTACCTCGAGGGTTATAAGGTGAAGATCGGCTAGTGGCGATTCCTTTAGAGTGTAAGAAATCACTCAGTTCTTTTGACATGAAAGCAGAACCTTGGTCGGAGTGGACAAAAGCAGGCATACCAAAGATGGTGAAGATTGATGTAAGTGCTTTGATGACAGAAGATGCTGATGTGTCCGAGCAAGGAATAGCAAACGGATATCTTGAAAACTCATCAACAACCGTGAGTATGTATTTATTCCTTGTCACAGATGGTATTGGCCCCTTAAAATCAATGTTAAGTCTCTCGAAAGGAGCCATTGCATGGATGAGTGTTGATGGGGTTTTTTGGTAGAACCGAGGTTTCACTTCCGCACAAACAGAGCATGAAGCGGTCATTCGCCTGACATCTTCGATAGAGTAAGGGAGATTTTTACTTTTTAAGAAATGAACCATCCGTACTATTCCAGGATGCCCAATGTCACAATGAATTCTACGGAGTTTTTCGAAATCTCTACAAGAGATGGAAGATGAAACTCGTGAAAATGCATCTGCTACTACGTTTTCCTTGCCAGAACGGTACACTATATCATAAGAGAAAGGTGCTAGTTCCAATCGCCACTTTAAAATCTTGTTGTTCTTAACCTTTCCCGCGTGTTTCTGATTGAACATATATGACACAGATTTCTGGTCTGTAATTAATTTAAACCGTCTTCCAATCAGGAAATGCCTCCATTTCTGTATTGAATCGAATATTGCGAGGGCCTCTTTTTCCACAGCAGGTAGATGTTGTTCACTCTTAGTTAGGGTTCTTGAAAAGAAACATATTGGCCTTCCAGCTTGTGAAAGGGTAGCCGCTATAGCTGATTCAGATGCATCTGTTTCTACAGTAAATGGAATATTCTCTTCAACTGCAGACATACTGGAGTTCGCTATTTCTTCTTTTAATGTCTTAAAGGCCAATATTTCTTTACTGCCTACTGGGAATGATTTGACTGTAGTAAGGCAATGAACCTTTTCAGAGAATTTAGGAATCCACTTTGCGTAATAGGACAACATGCCAAGAGCTCTTTTAAGGCTTGCATTATCAGTTGGAACGGGGAAATTCAAGAGTGATTGCAGGCGGTCAGGATCAGGACGCATGGACATGTTTTCTACAATGTACCCCAGAACTGGAATGCTGGTCAACGAAAACTTAGATTTTTCTTTGTTCAGGGTAAGATTATACTTTTTAGTTGCTTCCATGAATCTCTGTAGGTTTTGATCGTGTTCTGCTTGGCTACGACCACAAATAGTTACATCATCCAGATAAGCAAACGTGTCTAGTAGATTTTCATTTTCTATAATCTGATCAATAGTTCTTTGAAAACACGCCACACCATTAGTTACGCCGAAAGGAATTCGAGTGTATTGGTAAAGTCTCCCATTAGCTTCAAATGCAGTGAATGGTTTATCTTCATTCCGAATAGGTATTTGGTGATATGCCTCCTTCAGATCGATTGTACTAAACACTTTGTATTGAGCAAGCTTAGAGACAAATGATTCAATGTGAGGTAGAGGGTAGGCATCAAGCTGTGTGAATTTGTTGATGGTTTGAGAGTAGTCAATACAGAGACGTCTCTTGTGCCCATTGTTGACCACAATCACTTGTGCTCTCCAAGGTGATTTACTCGGTTCAATTATTCCTTCTGATATAAGCCTACTTACTTCACTTTTTATGAACTTACTATCATCTTCAGAGTAGCGGCGGGACTTGATGGCTACAGGCTTGACGTCATTAGTTAGATTATCAAACAGTGGTGGTGGTGATACTTTAGCCCTAAGTAGATTGCAAACATTGAAGGGTGGGCGTTTACCACCGAAATTCAGCTCCACAGCAGAATGTTGCCGAAGGATGTCATGTCCAATTACAACATCGGCACATAAATCAGTTAAGATGAGCAGCTTTGTCAGTGGGTATTCGTGGCCATCGCACACCATGTCAACAATACAGTGGCCAAGAGTTGATGAAACATGACTTGTTGATGCCATCGATATTTCATGCTTTGTTGGGTATTTAGAAATATTGAATCTTTTCACAGTAGCTTCAGATATAAAACTGTCGGAACTCCCAGTATCAATGAGTGCATCTACTGGTTTGCCGTTTAACATCAGTGACACTGTAGCTTTTGAAAGACATTTTTGTGAGGCAGCAACAAGAGAAGAAGACATTGAGTTTATTTCTGTCTTATCACTTTGAGTTGTTTTACCCTTAAATGTCCTACTTTGGTTGCGAGAATTGCAAACTGTTGCCCAATGGCCTTTCTTGTCACAAATATTACAAACTGAGTCTTTGGCAGGACAGTTGGCTCGAGAGTGTCGTGACCGTCCACAAAAGAAACATTTTTCTCTTCTTATCGAGGATAATTGGTGTGAAGACGAATCAGAAGCTGCCTGAGAAACATTTGTATCAGTAACATCAACATCTTTAGGAGTTGACTGAGATATAGAGTTACAAGGGCTTGAAATATATGAAACCGCCTGATTTTCAGCTGATTCCAAGGTAATGGCTTGATTATAAGCTTCTTCAAGAGTCAAAGTTAGATTTTCAAGAAGTCTTTGTCGAATGGACTGTGATATTAGTCCTCGAATGAAAGCGTCTCTTATGTACTCGTTGCGATTTTCATTAGCAGTGACAGATTTAAAGTTGCATGCTTTACTAAGTTCTTTTAGTTTTCGAAGATACTGATCAATATTTTCTCCAGGTTCCTGTCTTCTAGTGGCCAGTTGATGACGTGAATATACCTCATTAGTAGGCTTTATAAAGAGTTTGTCAAGAATAGATATAGCTTTGGTATAAGAATCAGCCTCTGAGATTATTTCATGTATGTTGTAGTCCACAAAATTAGTTAGAAGTTTTAGTAGATCATCTTCTGCAGCACATATTTCTTCCACGAAATTCTTGAAAGTGGTTTTCCAATGTTTCCACTGACGATCAGAATGGGGATCATTAGGGTCTAAAGATAGGCGCTCCGGCTTGAAGAATTTATCCATTTAGATTTCTTGGAATAAACTTGAATAGAAAAGATAGAATACAACTTGTATAGAAGAACTTGTAATAATATAGTTAAAAGATTAAGTTGAATAAATTGTTATGAAAAGAAATGTTTAGAAACCAAATTTATATGGTTTTATTCAACTTAATAGTCAGCTACATTTTACATGAGAGAATTGCACAAAACTGTAAACATTACATACATAAACAAAACAGTCTTAAATAAAACAGCTGAATAAATATTTGACAGTACAAAAGGAATCATATTACATAACAAATACCTGTTCGTTTTCAGAGTCGATCGTAGCCTTGGGTCGGGAGGCTCTAGAAGGGGAGACCACAACAGGCTCTAGTGACGGACGTGGCTGGGATCTGACAGGAGCCGGGGCGGGGGCAGGAGCAGGGGCTGGAGCAGAGTCAAAGGCCTGGAACTGCTGAGGTGGGGGCTGGAATACCTCTTGTGGTGGGGATGGCTGGACTCCGGGCTGGACAAGCCGGGAGTCAAACTGTAGTGGTCTGACGATGGCTGGCTGTCCAAACTGCTGTTTGTCTGGGAATCTGTGGAGTAGAATGATGAGTTGAATATTTTGAACAGTCTTATTACATAAATCCAAGTTTGACAAGAACACAACTGATGGATTCTGGATTCCTCTAGATTGGAAAGGAATTCTGGAAAGGGATCAGCATATTTCAGGGCCGTTGACTAGTAAGGAAGCACCTTAGACACAAGGCTTAACCAAACAGACAAATGCAGATTTCATTTATTAGAGGTAGAATGTCTGCTGAAGTGTAGATCGATTGTCTAGCGTTACCCCAGACAAAGAAATTCTTAGGAAAAGCGACCTTGATACCAAAGGAAATAAGAGATATGAGTCTTAAGTTGAAGGACTGGATCATTGAGTACTTTAAAAGACCAAGAAGTTGCAGGTAACTATACCCCAACCCGTCCTTACCCCAAAAAGCAAGTATAGACAACACATTTTAGACTCTTCCATGAGAGTAGATGTCTCAACATTTAATCATGGGTCAATTATGTCCACTTAAATAGTTTCCATCCTTTGTATGTCTGTTGATGTTTTATTGGCTATGTTTGACAACATATTTACCTGGCTTGTGGGCCCTGGTTGAGGGTCAGAGAATTAGGGTTGACGAACCTTGAGCTGCTCTGAGGTCGCTTTATCTTGGGGGCGACTCTGAAAGTATATAAAAATGTAGTGTAAAAATGTGTATATGAAAATATGCACAACACATCTCAGTCTTTGAACATGATTTGTAATTTATTTGAGAAAAAGTAACTTCAAGGGGAACTAACTAGGCTACATAAATTAAAAGTTTTGGGAGCTTTCTAATTCTAGCAAATTTTTAATTCATTAGAATTGGAAATACTTATACATTTATTTTTATTTTTAGCAAAAAATGTGGTGGTAGGTATTCAACTTTTTGTTAATTTTAACGATGATAAACAGGTCAAGTAAGTCTTTGAGTCTATAAGACTCAATTAAAATTGCCGGACCAATGGCTATGGAAAAAGATACTGGTTTGTTTCACCGCCACACCAGGAAAATGTCCTGCATGCTCCCAAAGGAATATGCTTATTTTATTGAGATTGAGTTGGACTTAAAGCTTTAATTAACCTCTACTAAACAAATGTGTCACTAAACAAGAGTTAATCTTAAGTTAATCTTATTGAATCAAATTGTACGAGTGGCTTTCATGTTACCTTTGAGGTTGGGCTTGGAACTGAGGCTGGGAGACAAACCTCTGAGGTTGTGTTTGAGGCTGAGCAGCAAACCTTTGAGGCTGAGGTTGAGGCTGAGCAACAAACCTTTGAGGCTGTATTTGGGGTTGAGGTCGAAACTGCTGTTCAGGTTGAGGTTGGAACTGTTGTGAGTCAAAATCATCGAAGCTTTGTGACTGGAACTGTGCTGCCGACAATGCGGCGAGTCCCAGCAACACCAGCTGTTGAACAAAATATACATTATTGATGTGTAGTAATACTACCAATATGAAGAAAGAACGTTTTCATCATACTGTACGGAAAGCAGCCTCTTTTAGTTCTCTAGTCGTCCGCAAATTCATCGATTTCGGGTAACTTTAAAGAGAACAGGAAACATATGATAAATTTTTCAGTTCGATAACCTCAAAATTGTATCAGTGGATTATGAAAATGATGCTAATCACACAATATTTAAAGTTATTTTTAAACAACAGAAATGTAAACATTGATGACATAGTATAATGAAAATAGTTGTCCATCACACGGAGCGAAAGTGTCTTTTTGATACTTAATCATATATTTCCAATCTCGGCTGCGCCTTGCTTGCAAAACACGGTTGTGTTTGCGACCTTGCTGAAAATGCCATAAAGAGCATTTTCGCTCCTTGTGGTGAAAACTACTATTTAATAAATCCTGCAGGGACATGTTATGCAGCGATTCAAGAAACAATGAGCATTTCTATATCCGCAACGGTTGCAAAGTCAACAAAAACACATATAAATTATTTAAATTTTAATATAAACGCCTACGGTTATCGTGGAAGAACTGATGATGATAGGTGTTAAACAAGATGCTTTTAGAATTTGCTGAGATTTATTACTTTTGCATGTTATTGACTATGACGATTTGTAGGATAAAGGATGAAGGTGCCAGCCGAAGTTAAATCTTACTTGTGACCCTTTTTATTGAAATCATAGTAATTTTCACAGTAAAATTTATTATAGCATTTTGCTTGTTAATGCTTAGGGTGCAATCTTAGTCGTTTTTAAAAGCACAATTGTATCTGACAAATGCTTGCTGGAAAACGACCTATTTATTTACTTATTATTTGTATAGTCAAATTATCTACGATTCCGCGCACATAAACACAATAAACAACAACATAACTAGATGCATGCACATACATTATAGACAGACAAATTGGTGGTTTATAATACCACTGTTTTAAATTTTATTACTACCAACGAGTATTTTTCCTATTAGCTCACTTTCAAACTATTAAAACAATACTTTTCCCTTTCCTTACTTTTATGTGAAGACAAAAAGAATTGTGTTACAGGCATAGGTAGTAATATTTCTCTTACATCTCTTTTAATATGTTGGAACAAAAAATATTTTAATTACCGTATTTATAATAAAATTATTCGTCTCTGAATTATGTAATTTGCATAAGTAGGCCTATCTATATAACAAGTTAAAATTCCTTCATTAGACTTCCATTGAACGATCTTCATCCAGAGATTGGTTAAATAAACAAGGGTTTAGAGAGTTATAAAGTATATTGCCTATGAGCTAGTAGCTTAAAACCTTTCACCCGACCACACTTGAAAGTTTAACTACAATTTGACTGGGTACTTGGGACTGGGATGGATATTTTTGGCTTTCACAAACAAATATTATTCTGTCGAAAAAATCAACTTTTTATGTTAGAAAATCCCATCAGTAATGTTCAATGCTTTGACAATAATATTACTACTATAATACCAAAACAACCACCTTCAAAACAAGCTATATTCAATTTTTTTCTACCTTTGCTGTTTTTGAGAAAAGGTTAACTTACAAAGTTATCAACAAAAACTTTTTGGTAAAGTAAAAACTCTGAAAACAAACAAATCTTACTATAATATTATAAATGTGAAAGTTTGTGTGTTTGTTTGTTTGTTTGAAGTTCAATCACGCATTAACTACTGGACGGATTGGGCTGAAATTTGGCATTATTATAGCTAACATTCCCGATTAACATATAGGCATATTCTTATCTCAAAAATACTTTCGGGCTCTGCCCCACTGACTCTGTGGTTCCCCATGTTAACCTTATGAGTATTCATATTTAAGGGGAATAAAAGAATTTAGTCAGCTGTTTCAACTTTAAAAGTTGGTTCTATGATATGGAAAAGCATTAAAAGTTATAAGATTTATTACCAACAGGGTGCAGCACTATTACTTTTTTTGCATTTATGGAAACAGTTAATTTGAACTAAGCAACAACAAAAAACTATGATACCGTATGCAATGAGAACTGTCAAAGTAGGATGTTTACAGTTACTTTTATGTTTTTAATTTCATGAATCATATGTGATAAGTATTATATTTTGCGAATCTTTAACAATTTATTTTTTCCTACAGTCACCCGACAAAGTTGGCTTCCTTGTACTGTTTATAGTACAGAAAGCTCCTAATTGCTGCATATTTATACTTTGCCGTACGGTTTATACTTTGGCGTACGGTTTATACTTTGCCGCACATCAGGATTCCAACGAAACAACACAAAACAGCGTGGTTCTATTATACACGTAATCAGTGTACTCTTGGAATTAGGTTGGCAACACTTAAAAATAATAATACTATGAGCAGCTGGTTGACTATTATAACTACGATTTAAAACTGTCATTTCGTGTTTATAGTTTCGGTATGTCTGAACTTTCTGGACTTCTCTTTTATACGTTTTTAAAACATTCCTACGATCTTAATAAACAAGAAAATGCCTTTAAAGCATTTTTTGTAGGCGCGGAAACCACTTCAAATTACAAAAACATACGGAACTATATTCTCAAAACGCGGAGCACATTTCTTGCCGAGGAAAAATAGCGGAGTGGTGCGGATCGGGTACTACTTTCTCTAGGGCACCTTGTGTTGCCAGCTGAACCTAAAAACGTGTTGTATAGTGTTTGAAAGACTAATTATTTATATGCTTTATAGTGACTGTAGGAAAAATATAATGTGTAACACGAGTGAAAAAGCCCTTTGCTGCACTCGAGATGATTCCGCACTCGCCTGCGGCTCGTGCGTAAACATTGCTCTCGTGTGCAGCAAAGTGCCACTTTCCCCACTAGTTACACAAATAACTATTTCCTATTGTTTAGGTGAAGTAGTAGAATATTATGGCTATGGTAGATGTGTAATACTATAGTATACCGTAAAGAAGCAAATTATATCAAATCGTATCCTCCCCCATTGCAAACGCAAAGCTTGAGTATAACTGCAATAAGCATAATACTTATATGCCAATCCCGTACGAAGGACGGGTACTCTGCTAGTTATGTTATATACCTGTATTAAAGTTTGATGAAGTTCTGACGAATTTTCAAGTTTTGATACTGTACTCTAAAAACAGGGGATTTTTACCTTCAGACTGTCATAACAAAATATATAAACAAGGTAAAAGGTTCTTTACAGGAATAGGCCTAGGTGTAGAATAAAACAAAAAATATATATACAAGTGTTTTTCTAAGTAGTTTGGTTAATTTTCTGTGGAGCTCCAAACTCGAGCTCTAAACTTTATCCCTCACAGGGGTAGGTTTCCAAATTCCTTTATCTGCATATTATTGCGGATAAGTGTATGAATCTTCTAAAAGTTTAAGCTGATTTGGGATTGGCGAGATTCATAAGCAAGGAATGCGATAAGGCTTCAACAACAACCCTGACGATGTGGAAACTTAAGGGAAAGTGAGTCCAAAATAGACAGAGACCGAGTGAAAACATTCCATCGGCGTGAGAATAATGAGATCAAGGACTTGTAAATGCGAAATCTAATTCAATAACTGGATTATTAGGTAAACACTACTAAAGGTTTGACAGTTTCTAATGTCGACGTTGTAAGGCCTACTGTCATAAATTGATCACAGATTCTTGTAAAAACTCTGAAAATAGTTATATAGGTTATTTACCTATATCTCTGAACATAAAGCTATAGATTTCGTTCGTCCATAGTATTAGTTCAATGAAATGAGAAAGAACTACCATAGATTAAACATACTCCCTTATTTTTAATGAGTTAGTAAACTAAATAGAAAAACTTTGGTACTTTTAAACTTTTAAAACTGTTTAGCAAACTACCTTTATTTAATAATAAACCCAGATCGTTAAAATAATACATTTATGATCAAATAAACTACTCATCAATGCAAAAATCCAAATGTTTATAAGCTTCCAAAACCACGAGCAACAATATTTTTTTAATATTTGCGTAGATTTATATTAATTTTATTTTTTGGATGGGTAAAAAAGAAAGATGTTTCAAATACACAAGAATCTTGCCTCGTTAAAATTGTAAACGGCACATTTTTTCAATGCTGAAGAGTAAAGACTAGATTGATACATTTTCTTGTGGCTGTTAAGCATGCTTTTCAATTTTTATCTAACGTACATTTATTTTACTGTTGTTAATTTACTTTGAAAACTTTGATTTTAGTTTTGTAATAAAATCTTGTGGGGAAAATCCAATCATGTGTTTCAAACAAAAAATATGCATTAATATTACACTAGAGAGGTCGTCCCGTGGTCGAAAACTCGACCAAAAAAATCGAATGTTCAGACTTCTCTATTTTCACCCCACGCTGTAAATAAAACATGTGATTGGGATTTCTTCCATTTGTTTTGATTTTCTGTTTACATTTCGTTGTTATTTCGTCACCGGCATGACAAGCCATAAGGCGCATGTTAATTTTTAAAATTTTAAATTCTCTTTTGCGCTTATTTTTGAGTCTAACGATGCACACGAGCTGAGAAAAAAGGTTTTGAAGAAACATGCTTGCATATTAATATATATAGATAGATAGATATTAAGCGTTCAAGATAAAACATCATCACACGAATTAATAGGCCTATGGGTGTTTAGGACAGTTAATTTTTTACAAGTAAAACTTCTAAAATACGATGTGTAAAATGCAGAAATATACAGCAAATGGTGATTTACTAACCTTAATTGGCTCAAACGGCTGACAAAATATTGGCAATAAAAATATTCTACTTTTGATAGCCATTTTCATAAACGGTTTCGTCTCTTGATTACAATATGGCTGTGGTTAAAAATTCAACTAAAGGTAATCTGCTGGTTTTATATTTATTTTAAACTGTCAGCTATAATGTAAGTTTAAACAAAAAAAGTTTGTGTGTGAGCTAGCAGAACTCAGCAGCCCCGGGCCTTGGAAAGTAATCTCTTAAGAATAAATCAAAGGTTTGG